ATTAAGGGTAACTGATAAATAATTATTTCCTATATATAGTTCCTATATAAAACACATTAGAGAAAAATCTGAAATGTGTAGAACAACATATTTAAATACATAGTTGCATATGATAATTTACTTTAAATCCATGTTAAAGTCCCAAAGTCACTATGAATATGATTTCAATTATTAAATTGATTTATCTTTCAAAACAAGAAAACGTGTCCTTTGAAAACCAAGTAGCCATCTCCAAAGCTTTGCTAAAAACGTGTCCCCTGCATTCAGCATGTGACAATGCTTTTATAAAAAATGTATGCAATTTACAGTTTGATATTTTCTAATCTTTATTTTGAATATTTTAAAATGCAAAATGTGGAAAATGTGTTTTTGACCTGGAGAAAATAAGCAAAAAAAGAACAGTTCACTCTACTTTTTGATGTAATATCAGCCCAACTTTAACCACGCTGAGATTATCATGGACATAATATCCTATAATATAAATGCATTCATTATTTCAGACTCTAATGACAGGATGATCCAGTTGTTGTTTATCAACCTTCACTGGTATTAAAGAGATGTATTGTGAGGGGACTTGGAGGCAGAGGGAGTCTCCAGCATGTGGCTGTGTGCAGCAGGTTGTTTAATGGAGCCTTTTGATGCTGCAGTGATGAGTCTGGGCAGAACAAGATCAAGAACCTGTGGGCGAGCAATTCAGAGTATGAACATGTTGACCTCTGACCTGTCCACCGTGGACAAGTAGCCTTTTAATGCCAAACATAAATGACTATTTGATTAAAAAATCTGAGATATAAAAAAAATCCTGATGTATTTTATTTAATAGGTTGTTCCAAGGATGAACAAATAAATACTGCATTAAATAGAGAAAAACAACACATTCCACAGTTCAGTTTAAATCAATATATTCTTTCATTTCAGTGAGAAATCTTGTTTGTTCATGAACTATATAACAAAACGCTATAAATAAACTAACAGACATCAATCTCCTTCTCTCTCTCTGCAGGCTGCTCCTACTCAAAGAGGTTGAACGACACGCGAACAATCTCCTCAATGGGCGCTATGTTTGCGCCTGGCTGTGCGGAGAGGTTATTTATTAACTCCTCGCCATTTGCGGCTGGTTCCCATCCACCCCTGCTCTGCTTTAAAACCGTGCTCTTCTCCACAGTGAAATGAATTATTCTCAGAGGGAGAGGGGGGGAGGCCCAAGACCTTTCCTTTCTGTTTGCGGAGAAGTCTCAGTGGTGAATCCCCTGCACGGTGCGCTCTGAGAAAAGCTCGGTGTCAGAGTGAAAGCAGAGTTGGAAGCAAATGGGATGGAACATTTAATTAAATTAAATGGCTTGACCGGCTCTATTGTTCTTTCTCCCTTTTAAAAAATAAGACACATTAATTACATGGTCGGATCTTTATCCTGGGACAATATTGCGGATTGATTCAGCAGCATTCCGCTAGTGCGCTTTTCTTAAATGAACTCTTTAATAAACGTAAATAACGACCCGAGAAGAATCGGATTCGGGAGACGTTTTTATGGGCGGCTCTGCCTGACTCTTGCCAGCCTTTTGGGGGTTTTAACTGTCTAAACGGTGGGGCTCTGATTTAACTGGTTGGCCATTAATGAGCCATGAATATAGAGGAACAACCTGTCTGCAAAGCAACGCGGTAAATACAGAGAGCAATGCCCCACCAGGGATCTCCATTCATACGCCGTGACTATCCTTCAGGGGTGCCAAGGGTTCACCACCACCTCTCCTGGACTGGTTTCAATGGCCTACCATTTAAGAGCCCTCCAAGCTCGGAAGAAAACACATTTTTTATGTCGACCCATAAACTTTGTTTGGGTCTATTCAGAAGAGCCCAATCATTGTCCCACTTAGCAATGTGGCCTATTTCTCACAGATTCCCACGTCTTAGAAATGACTCTTGTGTTAGTCTAAAATCAATTTATTTCTCCACATGTAAGCCCACACCTTCAGCAACTCTCACATTAACTTGGTCACACGTCTACAGGCTAATTAAAAAAAAGAAACTTAAATCCTCTCGCTTTTGGTTTTCTGGACAGGTTGAACTCTGTTGAGCCAAATAAACAGAACTTCTTATTATTCCTTTCAGATTTCTAAGAGAAAGGCTTTCGGACAGGCCTGTTTATCTTATTCCTCGCCTTTCTTTTCTTTATTTTATACCACCCGGGCATATTAAAGGTGTTCTACTGTGTGAGAAACCTGGGGAAATATGCAAGCTGCACCAATGGCAGACCAGCTGCTATGATGCGGGTGGGACATTAGCGACGCGTTTGAATAGTAATTATGCTTGTATGGGACTCCCACCAGATGACATGATTGGGATTTTAACCCAGACTTATATTCAAAATCGCATTAGAGAGGAGCCGAATAAATGCCACCTGATTCAACGCTGTTCATGCGTGATTTCATTCAGAAAGTGGGCTGCACCGTTTCGGTATTCAAAGTCTCTACAAAGTGTATGCGCCGGTCTTTTTCAGGCCACATTTCCCTGACTTAAAGTCACTTTGTCTCGCATGAGGAGACGCGGATAAAGGCGTGTGAAGTCGCGTGAATTGATATGTTTCGGTGTACCTTATAAATTCATACCTTTTCTCACTCCAGCGCCTCAGAAAGAAAGTGTCACTCAGGCCGATTCTCTCTGCTGTCCAACGCATTTAGCAGGAGATCTATTTGAGAAGTTCATTCCTAGGCAAATGTATGCAGGCAGGGCTCTGCGTGAATAGAGCAGCGTGTCAGCCGACCCTAATTGGGATTTAGCCACCCAAAGCATATGCACAAAGTGACAGAGAAGCACAGGTTTCAAAGAAAGTCACAACTTTTGCCCTTCTTGGTGAATATAAGAAAGCTCTTTCCCTCGGCTCAGGGTAAAAGTGCATTTTTCTCATAGGATGGAGGTTAGTGACCCAATTGGCTTTAGTGTTATTGCAAAAGAAGTGTGAGAAAAACCACTGTTATGGCAAAGTGCATGTTTAAAGACACGTAACCTTTACTCGTCTGTATGTCTGAACGGGGCGAGATATTTCAGCCGAAGTCATGCTTATTATCTGAACAAATATCTGAATTGTTTTCCCCCTTTTTCGTTTATGTTTTAGACAGGCAAAATTCACAATTTAGGTTGTTTTGTAGCGGAGATTCTGCAGTAATTAAATACATTCTAGAAATATAAATAATAATACATGCCTATTTATAATACAAGTACTATTATTATACATTTAATAAAAAAAGAGCATATTACTATATATAAATATAAGAAAAGGTTAGGCTATATCTAAGTCTGACGAATCTCGAAACAATAAATAACTAGGTCATATTGCAGATTGAAAATGTTTTGGGGAATGCTTTTTGGGGAAAAATAATGTCTTTGTAAAGGCAGATTAATTAAACATTGTTTTGTTTGTTTGTTTATTTGTTTGTTTATTTCACTTAATAACAAGCCTCGTTCCTTCCAATGCATAATATTTTGCACCGTAAAGACGAAGCACCATGGAGAGCTCCACATACCACGCACACGCACAAACACACACATAGACAAACACACGCTCTCCTGCATGTCTGTTAATTGTATTGATAATATATTCCGTCCCATCACTTTGACGAGAAGTGCATTTATCTCCCTGAACTTCAGCCTAAATATATAGGCTGATTTATATACATCGTTCGGGTCGGGTCCACATTAATAACTCGCTGTAACAAAATGTAATCTAATGATATGAGCGTCTCGCGGCTCCTCATTATATCGCCGATTGACAGTTCTAGGTTCAAACTAATTGTCTCCCGCGTTTCGGGTGGGATGAGCTTGTGGAAATGATGTCCGAGGCAAATATTGATTATTTTCTACATGAGGTCTGAGCATAATCATCAGAAAAATGACTTATTAAGCATTGATATACTAGATGATTTAAGAGAGGCGCATTGTCTTTAACGATAATTACTTTTTTTCGTTTTATGGTTTTTGTATCTCAAATCTTAGTGTGTAAAAATATATATTATTATTTTCTTTTATCAGATATTCTGATATTCAGCATTTTCTTTGAATAGGAACTTCTTTATTGCTGGTTACTCTTAATTTGTATTTCAATATGTTTTGTCCAAAGTCTTGTCCAATCATATTAAGCAATACATATTAAGCCATTTTGATCATTCCTTTCTTCAAAAGCAAAATAATTTAGGGTTCTACTAATGTAAAAGCACTCTGTAAAATGATATTACATTCATAATCTACAGTTGACCTTATTCAGATGTGTTAATTTGTAATACTGGCATAGTCATGTTATTGCTGCCATAACATCACTGGTCCTGTTCCTATCTTTTGTTGCAGATTCTCTTGCATGTCTCTGCTCTACGCCCTTGAACAGGACACTGAGTGTGTTTGGCATCTGTTGGCCAGATCCAATCGCTCCCGATCAGCAGCAGGAGGAAAAGGTGTGGATATGGATGGAATGAGGACAGGAAACGGCTGTGTGCCGTCACTCTGCTGCAGGACAGAATTTGAATGACTGACTCCTTAGCCCTCGAGAAAGTGTCAGGATGACCGCCTCAACCCTCAGGTGACTCTGTCTTTCTCTCTGTTCTGCTCTTCTCTTGCTACTTACTTTCCCTTTTTTCACTCCTCATCCATCCAAGCCAAAGCTACCAAAATATGCAACACCTCATTCCATTATTGAAAATAGTATTCATAACATTCTTTGTCCTTATAAGGCACATCAAACACAAACACTGAAAAAGACATCAAGAAAGACAAGGGTGATTGAATGCTGATAGCTTTATTTTTGGTAGAAAAAAAGGGGGAGGGTAAGGCACACTAAAGTTTAGAGGTGTTGGCATTTAAACCCTATGAGCTGAAGATTTCGCTCTGGTCATGGTCTTCTTGTCCAGGGCAAAGGGTAAAGGTCAGAGCCCAGACATGGGCTGGTCAGTGCAAAGCTCAGAGGGGCGTGGAGGGTTAAGGGTGAGAAGCGGTCACTTGGGAATTCATGCTGCTCATTCCTCGTCAGAGTCATCAGCTGCACCACTGATGATGTAGGTTTGTTCCTGGTGGTCCATCTCCAGCACGTTATCCTCATTTTTAACCGTTCTGGAAACATCAGGAAAGAACAAATAGTGAAAAAGAAAAAAAAAGCTTGTTCGACTTCTTGATCCCTGCTGCCTGTATACATGGACTTATACCTCACCCTGTCAGAATATTGGTTAACTAATTCCTTCTTTATCAAGGATGTTTATTTTCTTGAGCTATAGTGCAATAGGTATGTTTAAAAAAATAGGAAAAATAGATAGTACCTTTACCTAATGAGTACCGTCCTCCTCTCTGTCAGCTCCACAGCCTGCTCTGCGTAAGGCTCGTGGACATCATATCCATCCGATCCATATCCTATCCCGTCGCCAACTCCTCCACCAACTTTCCCCATTCCACCAACGGCGGATAGTGCGTCACCTCTACCCACACTATCAATCCCCTCGCTGCCTCCGATTCCGCCATCCATTCCAGCAGAACCCATTCCTTGTTTGTTACCTCCATCTCCATCTATGGCTCCACTACTTCCATCACCCGCCCCTCCACCAACACCGCCACTTCCTCCTCCGGACCCCATGCCAGTGCCCCCCATACCACCAGCCCCAGTACCCAATCCTCCAGCACTATTGCCCAGGCCTCCAGCACCAGTGCGTGCACCCCCAGCCCCAGCACCCAAACCTCCAGCACCAGTGCCTGCACCCCCAGCCCCAGCACCCAAACCTCCAGCACCAGTGCCTGCACCCCCAACCCCACTACCCAAACCACCAGCACCCAGTCCGCCAGCACCAGTGCCAACACCATTCATTCCTCCAGCACCCATTTGTCCACCACTACCCACACCTCCTTCCCCAGCTCCTACACCAACACCCCGAGCTCCTGATCCATGACCATAACCGATATCAGCGCCTCCTGCCCTACCAGCAGGGCCCATCTTGTCATCTGGACCTCCAGCACCCATTCTTCCAGCCATTCCTGCAGCGCCGCTACCTAAACCCGTTCCCATGCCACCTGCACCCATAGCACCACTCATTCCTGCTCCACTCCCCATGCCACCAACACCTCCCATCATTGTGCCGCCACCCATTCCACCAACACCACCTCCTCCTCCTCCTCCTCCTCCTCCTCCACTGAAGCTCATCCCACCACCAATGGCACTCATGCTACAACTTCTAAGAGAGAGGGTTTGCATCATGCCAGAGAGCCGCAGATCCTCTCCTTCAACAAGTTTCCTGTAACAAAAACAAACCAATGTTATCATTTATTTAAACATATTTAATGGCATTAAATCCATTGTATCACATGTTTTCCCTCACCTGTATGTTGTAATTTCAATCTCCAGAGACATCTTGACGTTCAGAAGGTCCTGGTACTCGCGCAGGTGCAGGGCAATTTTCTCCTTGTAGGATTTCAGCTCAAACTGCAGGGCCTCAATCCGAGCCTATTCGGTTAACAAAACCATCAAATTACTGTATGAATTGATCATTGCTGTGGCTTTGTATCTGCATGCATATACAATCTGGTGTGATCACATGCACCCTGGGATTACAAGCCTATATTTACCTGCAGGTCTTCCAGTTCCTTCTTGTACTTGTCTTGTGTCTCTCTGATCTTGAACTCAAGAGCTTCATTCTTCGTCCTCAGGGAATCCAATTCACGGTCTTTGTTTTGGATCTAGAGACATTTAATTGGGATTCAACTCATTCAATATCAATTGTCAATCACTCCTTATTTAAAAAAAAGAAATCACTTGTAATACTCACATCCTTTTTGGCACCTGCTATTTGATCTCTAATGCCTCGAACCCTATCCACATGCCTTGACGTCTTACTGGTCAGATCTTCAAACTTGCTTTTATACCATGAATCCATCTCCTAATAAAAGGGATGAACAATGTATATGAATGTAATCTAAAAAACAGAGACCTTGCCCCAGCTGATGTGTGATTATTTTACCTGGAGATTTTTGGCTGCTATGTCGTCATACTGGGTTTGGATTTGTTTCAAAGCGGCTGCCAGGTCAGGTAGCTCGAATGCACTCTGAGCTGTCGCGTGAGCTGAGTAGATCTTGCTCATGAGCTCCTCAATTTCCTGGGGAAAAACATTTCATATTAAGTAATCAGGAAAAGGAAAGGCAAGCTGATTCAATCATTCTTACGTGAAGTTGTTATCCACCTGTTGATGGACCCGTTTTAGGAATTCAACTTCAACCTCCAGCTGCTCCAGCTTCTTCTCCAAGGCGATGCGAGAGGATGTGGCTTTGTCAACATCCTAAAGAACACACACCACGATTAACTTGGCACTGCAAACTAATTTGAAGACAAAGGAGGAATTGGTTAATTAAATGCAACCTACTGGACGGAAGGTTTCAATGTCTAACTCGGCTTTCCTCCTCAGCTCCACTGCCTCCTCATATTTGATTTTGATTGCCTCCAGTTGAACAGCTGTGGAGTCCTTCGCAGCCAAGGAAAGGTCCTAAAAACAAAGAGGCCAGAAGTAATTTGGTTGCCTTTCAGATTAGGAGGTTTGTGCAAATTGTAGATCAGCCACTTTTGCATTATCATTTTCTATTTGAACTTATTTCCTGTGTGAGTGTGTGTGTGTTTGCGTGTGTGAGTTCAAATGTAAAATGAAGCCATCTCATCTGTGTATAAATCATAGCTGAAGACAGCTGTGCTCCAGGACACCTAACACGCGGAGGCACGTCTCTATTTGCCTGCCAGAAATAAGCCTGTTACCAGGTTAGCAACCTTGAAAACACCAAGTTGACATCTTGTATTGTTGCTTGGATGGATCCAATACAGCTCAGTGAGGTGTAAAACCTCGCCGGAAACAAAACAATTCAGTCCTTATGGTCTACTAAGCATGTGAAATGTAAAAAAAGGAATGGAGGCGATGCGCGACTTGAAGAATTCTGTCTCACCCGCTGAACTCTCATCTGGTCAGCAATCTTTTTCAGCTCCCTCAGCTGTTCCTCGTATAGCAGGCGCAGACCTGATGGATTCTCAAAGCGGTTCTGGTACGCCTCGATCTCAGATTCCAAAAGCCTGTTCTGCTGCTCAAGTGATCGGACCTGTACAGGAACATATATTTTGTGATTTAAAGTGTATCTAACCAGACACTGATATGTTTCCTGTCCATTTGCATAGGTATTGATCGGTACTGATAGAAGAAGTAAAATGTGGTTAGTATGAAGGCCGCGTTACCTTGTCAATGTATACAGCCAGTCTGTCATTGAGAACAATCATCTCCTGTTTTTCAGTTGTACGTGTGCTGAGGAACTCTTGGTTCTCAGCTGCAGCAACATCCAGATCAATAGCAGGTTCTCCAGTAGGCCCAACACACACCATGGCTCCTGCACTCACACTGAAGTCACCCATGAGCAAAATACATCACATTTACTGAAAGAGTAAGGAATGTCTTGAAAAAGAGCAAAAGGTAAACATGTTTATAACGGCAAATAATAATCCGACTATGTTACTCATTACCCCTACATCACTCCATCTGTAGTCACTGCAGTTGACAGTGCTTACCCTGCCCCACTAATGCGAGTCCTGCGTGCGGCCGAGACGTTCCTCTGTCCCGCTGAATCCACACGCATGCTCCCGGCCCCTGATCTGCAGGAGTAGCCGGCGGAGGCATGACGGGAGTCTCTCCTGGTGGGGGATGGGCTGGACATCCTGACCTGGTAGGACGAGCTGCTGCTGTCCTCAAAGTGACGGCGGTAGGACGAGATCCTGTCCTGGCTGCGGCTCATGGTTGGGTTTTTCCTCTGGTTCTCTGAAGGGGGATGGAGGAAATCCTCAAAATACTCAAGCAAGGCCTGTCTGTGGTACTCTACAGTACTGCTTTTCAACCTTGTTTGCACTCTCCGATTGTCAACCCAGGCTCTGGTTTTATACCTCCCATTTCTAGCCAAGCCCTGGCTTTGTAATGGACAGCCCAGTTCATGCCATCACCTGTGGAATCTCGAATCTCCGCACCAACTCAGGCTTGACCTGCTGCTCAGATATCTGCCAGCAGCTTGTGAGGAGCAGAGCTTAGTGGCTGACCTCATCGCCCATTAGTCTTTCTGTAAAACACAGAGTGTGAACACGTATCAGCCTCCCTTTTATCAGATAGATTTTGCCAGGATTATGGTACATCCACCACCTCCGTGTCCACCCCAGACCTGGGCAGCAGGCAGGCAGGCAGGCAGGGTCCGGCAGCCGCCAGTATAGGTAGAGCAGTGATGTGATGTGCTCTGATGGGACGAGGGACTTTAATAGAACGCTGAGCCGAAGCTGGAGGGTGACCTGATGAGGCCGCGGCTGCAGAGGAACAAAGAACCCCAGCTAGATTTGGCATTATTAGTACTTATTTGTCTGATCTGTTTCCAACATATTAGGCTAAAACCAAAGTAATCAGAACAAAAAGAAAATGAAATGAACTGCTTCTGAGGGAAAATAAGGAGGAAGAAGAAAAGGCGGGGGGGTTTGAAGTCTGGAGTTTACGGTTGACATGGCACGGTGATGAGGGGAGAAACAGTCACTGTTTCCCAACACCTAGGGTCAGTTAACGCTGCACTGTCCTTAACATTTACTGTAAACATGAACTACCAGCAACATTAGCCCTCATTGAGAATCTGAAACTCACACACACAGATAACAACAGAATAACTAAACCATAAACCGTCTAAAAGTCAGATGATATTAGTTTTCAGCACATTGAAAACATAAAATCCAAGTAATAAAATGCTTTAAGGGAATACTTAAACCCCAAAATGATTATTTGTATATTAATCAGAGATGGCAAAAGTACACACATCCTTTACTCAAGTAGAGATACTTGTGTTTAAAAATACTCTGGTAAAAGTAGAAGTACTGACTTATTTACTCAAGTAAAAGTAAAGAAGTATGGGCTTTGAAATGTACTTAAGTAAAAAGTACCCATAACTACCAGCTGTTTTAAAGAGTACCTCACCTCCCTTTATATTAATAGAACAATAATGTCATTGTTAGCTAATGAATGTTTCCATGCTGAACAACGGCAACATGACAACGTTTTCATTGGTCCCTCTTCTTTAGAGAAGACCAGGAAATGATTGATACACGGATCGTGTTCAAATCAATAGGCACGCAATGACTCTAAATAATAATTATCACGCCACCAAACACAGATTCAAACTAAAGTAACCAGCCTGTTTGGAAAATGTAATAAGTAGAAAGTACAGGTAGCCTATCTGTGTTCAAAATGTAAGAAGTAAAAGTAAAAAGTCGTGGAGTAAAGTACTGATACCAGAAAAATGTACTTAAGTACAGTAACAAAGTATTTGTACTCCACTACTTCCCACCTCTGATAGTAATAACTAACACTCTTACATTGAAGACAAATAATCTAAATAAAATAAAATACAGAGACGGTTGTTGATGTATTGAATCACAATATCAGTTTATCCAATGTCAAACTTTCATACAATGTCTGCAAGTCTCATTTAATCAGAAACTCCTCATTTTAAACACAAGTTGTGGACCTGCACAAGTATGAGGCGGTTTTCTTCTGATGAACAGGATAAAGAGACTTGTATTATACTGCACAATTTTTGTGAGTACAACCAGATGTTTTTTATTGCTGTTATAAGCATAATTATTCTTTACATTTTGACCCTAGATCTTGCAGCAGTGTGGAATCAGTCCCCTGAGGCTCGAGCAATCCATTTCTACTAAGCTGCTATTTTCATGTTGAAATCAAATAACAGCACCAAAATATTGTATTTTCTATTACCAACTGTATGAAGCCTCACTCAAAATGCTAACACAATTTGACCTCCTACTTTTTTTTTTTATTGTATTCAGCTAAAAACAGCTAAGGAAAACCTAAAATAGAGATAGAAATCCTTTGTTTCAGAGTTATTTATTTCACTTTGTCTTTACATTTAAATATAAATATGAACAATAATGTGGAGTTTTCCTTGGCTGCTTGGAGGATACTGTTTGCTATAAACAGAAATGGCATTCACACATATTTACTCATGCATCATGAAAGTCAATTATACGTCAGTCTCCTATGTGACATGATTCAGAATCAACAGCTTGATTCTAAGTTTTGGCACTTGGATACATTAAACTCATCTCTGGAATGTCATTTGTGTGGTCTGTGTGGACTTTCAGGTCAATTCATAAAAGGGAAAGTTAAAAGAGAACAAAGTCCATGGCCGTGGTCGACTTACAGAGGCATTCTTCTCAGTTGAAAACAACCGCATTCATTATCACGGATGACGGAGGAACCTGTTAATGGTCCCTCGAGGGTGGGTGTCAAATTCATACTGGGAAACAGTGGATATTAGACATGGCCCTTCAACACCGTAGATCATCTGAGTCCCAACGGCTGTCACTTCAGCCGGCCACCCTATGCCTATTTATAGAAGAAATATATTCAGACAAATGTTTTCTCATGTCCTTTTTAATAGAACCGACGGCCATTGTCCATAAATTGCAATGGTGGGATGCAGCTAAGGGAAATGACTCAAGTATTGTATTAAAGTAACACTTTGAGCTACTTTACTTGGGCAATTTCTTCCACATTATACTTCTACTCCACTACATGTTAAAGGTAAATATGATACCTTTTACTCTATTATATTTATTTGGCAGCTTAAGTTACTTTGAATGTTTTGATTATTAACACACATTCTAATAACTTATTATAAAAAGTGTTTATTATTGATTGAGCTACCCATCAATCAATTCATAAAATAAATAATACAAATTACATACACTTTTACCAGCTGCAATAAGGAAATGATAAACACATTCATGGATCAATAACTGTAATCCAGGAATATATAATGTATATGATTCTGGAATGGGCTATTATGTAGAATGAGTACTATACTTTTTGCCCTTGAAGTATGTTTTCAGTACTGTTTCTGTAAAAATGGAATGAAGTTAGATACTGAATGCAAGACTTATAGTATTTGTACACAGTCGTATTGCTACTTGTACGTAAAGGGGCCCTATTATGCACATTTTTAGGTTCATATTTGTATTTTTTGTCTCTACTGTGACATGTTTACATGCTTTAATGTTCAAGAAGCTCTTTATTTTCCTCATACTGCCTGTGCTGCAGCACCTCTTTTCACCCTCTGTCTGAAACCAGAGCCCAGTCTGCTCTGATTGGTTAGCTGGTCGGCTCTGTTGCGATTGGTCAGCAGCTCAATGTGTGTGAAATGTCCAGCTCCTTAGCATATCACGTACAATGTGTTGGAGTGCTAGCCAATAGGAGCGCCAGTGTTGCGTAGTGATGTCACTATGTTGGTGGAGTAAACAAAGGAGTCCAATGGAGGCGTTTCAGGCATGGGGGGAATTTGTGGGAGAGGAACTCCCACTGGAGAGAACTTTGTGATGTTAGCCTTGGCAGACCATTAACATGCACACAAATCCATATAACACACTACAGAAAAGGGAAAAGCCCCCTAAAAATAGGGCCCCTTAAAGTAACATATTTCAGAACTTCTTCTTCCATTTATAAATTGTAAAAAAAAAAATACAAAACACACTCTGAATATCAGTGTTAATCCAAATTATAATAGTATTTATTGAATGAGTTTGGCAACAATTGCAGATGCATCTATGACAAACAAAATAGTTAATATTTACAACACATGATCCGAAATGCTGAACTATCTGTATTATGAGATGGATGGCTTCATTGTATTATACAATCATACACAGTGGAGTAGTCATTTGCATAGTCTGGAAACAAAATCTCTATTAATCGTATATTCATGATTGTAGTATGGTTTACAACAATCACTGGTGATATATGTGTCTATTTAAAAGTTTTTATCAGTTTTAAAAGATAAATAAATTAATGTACAAGTAACTTCAAGTGACATTGCAGTATTTTTTAATACAATCAGCAGCAGAGAAGTGTTCTGGGCCCTCCTATTTCAGTCTTTGGGATTCACAGACAATATTTTCTTTTTAGAACTGGCTCTTAAAACAACAGAAAAAATAAGGAACCTTTTAAAAACCCTCCTCGTTACGCACTCTCACTTGCCAGTCAGATCTTGAGTAAAGGCTTTAAATATATTTATTTTTCTTTAATCCTCAGATCAGTCCTGCTGCTCATTTTTCGACCAGTCTTGCCATCCACCCAGGTAATTATGAACACTGAAAGGGAGAGAAAAGGGAAGAAAGTGAATGACAAAACACAGGTGACTCAAAAATAAAACTGCACTAGTTTTACTTTTCCTGGATCAACATTGTATTATCCTGCATTTAAAAAGGCATATATTGTTAGCATTTTGAGCTAATTACCCTTTTTTCCCTTCTTACAGTTAGACACTGGCACTCTATGAAAAGAGCATTGCATGATGGGTTGTCCTCATGCACAGGTCAGTAACCTCAAGTTGGTGAGACTTATCACTGGCTCACTATGAAATGTCAGATATGAACTTAGCCATAACATTTGACTGGTACACTAGCCTTTGCCTGTGATAACAAAATGGTTTTAACAAAAAACAAGAAACCTTATTCGTTGTACATGGCTAGAATACTTTGGTAATTTATTAATTTAACGATGAGGTGAGAAGTAATTATTTTTTACAGATTTATGGCAGGGAAACATGTCTCACTCTTTGTATCCCAGGGAGGCGGCTGTGTCCAGGGCGTTTTTGCTCCTGATCCCTGCCAGACAGGTGAACACGATGTTATCTGTCTGCTGGGGCATTTCACCTCCGTACTTTTCATTGAACTCTTCTGCATCCAGCTGGAGGGCATTCCCCACCTGTGCCACTGCAAAATCAAACCAGCACATACAAATGTAGTATTAGAAGTAGTACTTTAAATATATGTTATTAGGTAAATCCAAACTTGAATGTGTCTGGGAACAATTGTGAGTCAAATCAGAATGTCAACCATTAGGAGCGTTTTTAAGTAGACTTTTAAACTGGGAATGTAGTATTGTCTTTCCATATTATGTTTCCTTAATTAAGGGCCTGCTATTATAAACTGAGACTGAGGAAACCAAGTAGCTACAACAGAGCCCTGGGTGTGCGTGCTGATGTATAAATGTTTTGTGTGATGATTTAGGACATTTTTAATGAGCCCTGATAACATACTAGTAACACAGTGGTTCTCAACCTAGGGGATGGGACTCCCAAGGGGGAGTACACAGCGATGCACACTGAAATGTAGAGTCTGTATTTAACCCATCCATGTATTAGGAGGAGTGGGAAGCTACTATACAGCGTCCACAGAGTAGTGACAGGGTGTGGTGCCTTGCTCAACGACGAGGTGAACTCGCAAATTAACAGTGCACACTCCATAAAACTTGGTCCGTTCTGAGACTTGAACCTGTGACCATTCTGTTCCCAAGCCAAGTCCCTACAGACTGAGTTCCTGCCACCCAACTAAATATTAAATAAAATATATAAAATAAATAACATATTTATAGACAGGGCTGTTATTGTTATAATTTGTGCTTGGATGTGGGTTTTCGAATCATCATTTACCAACTAATTTAACCACTTGCCAGCATAAAGTGCATCTATTTATGCACACAGATTATGAGCTATCACTGCGTTTTGAAGTGTGGGGAAGCCACCTGGAGGATTAGGGATTGGATCTGACGTTATATTCATGCCAACCTAACACACATTTTCTGATTATTTTAGGAAGTGTAACACTCACGGGGGACGTTAATTGACCCAGGGATGGAGCCATACTCCCTGAGCTCCCATGGCTCCCTCACATCTATTACCACAGCCTTCCTGCCAGACAGGAGCTGCTTCAGCTGCTCATAACTCACATCTGTGCTCTGTGGCGCTGAACTGAACCCACGGAGCAGCAACTCTGTGTCTGAAAGCAAAACCAGAGGTGGAAAAAGCACTATAGCGAAAGAGGCAATATCAACTTTTGAAAATACTCTTACAAGTAAAAGTCCTGCTTCAAAGTCCTACAAGTACAAAAGTGTTGATATCAAAATATGTACTTAAATTATCAAAACTAAAAGTACTCATTATAGGCAATAGCCAATTTCATAATCTTATATATTAAACTACTGGATTATGATGCATAAATGTATTCCTCACTGATGGTAAAGCTAATTTGAATTATATTGCATGTTACTTGTTAGACGCTTTTATCCAAAGCGACTTACATACTCAATACTGTGTACAATCCCCACAGGAACAATTTGGGGTGAAGTGTCTTGCCCAACGACATGCTGACTGCAGTGGGGTTTGAACCTGTGACCCCCTGATCACAACACCAAGGCTCTACTGCGCCACACGCCTCCCTTTATCTATATTGCTCCTACACATCTTAACCTTAAATTATATTGCAATGTTTATTAATTGATTTATGTTTTGTAAATAATGACTGCATCTGTTTAGTAACTAACTTCCAAAACGTAGTTGAGTAATACGTTTAAATGAAAAGGCTCAGTTAAATGCAAGTACCTCCAAAATTAACTTTAGAATAGTATGAGTAGATGTACTTCATAACATTGCACCATTGAGCAAAACAGACAGCATGAACATTTTCATAACATTATAGTGAGTCACGAGCCAACCAGCTGACATTTAAATGGACAGTAGCCTAGACGGGAGAACTTGTTTGGAAATAGTACACCGTTAATGTAGTAATAATAATAATAATAATAATAATATAATGTAAAGCTCACGTTTGCAATCGTGGTGAGTGTTGACAAGGCTGGACACAGAGCTTCGTCCTCCAGGCAGGACGGTACTGTTCCATAACAGCCTCGGAACAACTGCTGCAAACCTCCAACACCTTCTGAGAGCCATGCGTGAACAGTTATACCCTGGCTTACACTTTATATTAACACTTCGTCAACACAAAACCCAATAATTTCGCAATTATACAGCGAGCAACAGCTACTAAAATTCTAACTGCTCACCCTGCCAACAAGGACATGCGCATGCGCAGAAATACGGATACGGATCCCTTCAAGGTCTAAAATACCCTCTCCCAGAGTAAATGGCTCTGCCCTCTCCTAACCTGCTCTTATCAAAGTTATTGTACCTAATATATCAAAGTTCAAACCATTACCAACACAAGTCAGTGCTATGTTCTCTAAGGGGCAATAACTTTTGCACCGAAGTTTGATCGAAGAGATAATATAAGATATATGAAATAATGCACATGGTCGTAGGAAATCCGGCAGAGATCTCTCCACATAGGTCCATTTATTTAATATCAAGAGTTATCATAATACTTCCATCATTGCATATGCCGCTCTTAGGGGCATGCATGGCTTTTTTTTGTTGAAGATACCAATAATTTCACGTAGAATAAACAGAAATACTTGACATAATAATTCAGTTTGCACTTATAGTACGACAAATAAGGATACCAAAACCGGTGTCTTTAAATAGAACATACGAACAAACCAATCCCCATAGTTCCATGGTTTTAATACGTTGGAAAGGCTCCTGAATACCTCAGAAACTGGTAAGCTTTGCCTTTTGCTAAGACATTTCCCATTGAACATGAATGCAGCATTAGGCCAAGCTGAGTTGCCGTAGTGCGTCACATGTTGACTAGGACTGCCAGTTGATGCAACCGAAAGCTTAAACAGTTTTAGAGAGTCAAAGGCCAACACGAACAATTATTAAGAAAATTATGCTGTTATTATCGGTACTCTGTAGTTTGCATTGAAATGTCTTAACATCTCCGTTTGTTGTTGGATAAAACACACGTGTTAATCTTGTATTTATTCTGACAAGCTAATGTAGCTAGCCTGTTTGCTAGCCAGGAAGAGTTGACATCTCACTGTTGGCTTCAGGTTAGCTAACACAGTCAACATAGGAGCTAATATTAAGAGGTGAGTTCATACAGCTTTGCCAAATACAACTGTGGGGAAGTTATGTATTTATTGTTTCAATGTAGGTCCTCTCATGCTCATCTCAATTGGACTATCGAGACTGCTTGGGGCTTCATAACCAGACACTACTATGTAACGTTTGTTATCTCTTAACATGGTATCATATTTTATTTGGCTAGCTATATTTATTCTTAGTGACGTACTATGAACTATTTGGACAGTTGCATGTTTAGTTGTTTTGGCTATAGTAAACAATGATTTTGAAATAGCAATGTGGCTAGGGATAAGTGATTTTTGAAGGGTGCTTTGGGGTGCTACAATGTATTTAGGGATGACAGTGTATCAACAGTTTTAAACAGACCCTAACATTTGAGGAGGATTTTTTTGGATATTTATCTTAGACGTATTACTTACTATACAATTATAATGTCCAAACAGTGGCATATTCTTATCAAGCAAAGTCATCCACTTCACCTAAGAAGTGTTTAACCAGTTAAATACCAAACTGAGGGTGTAAAACCCCTAAAACCAGCATGAATTAAAAATGTCAGCAGTTAATCAACAAGGAAAATAGAAATATCTGTTGATGTCATTAGGAGGTAGAGCTAAGAAAGTCATTGGTTACATTGACATTTTATATATTTAATTTGAAATTCAGTTTCTTAAAAGTCAGGACTATGCATTAAAAGAGATCAGATTTAATCAGGTGCCAAGTAAATACCCTCAAAACAACACATTAGGTTGGCTTGCAACCACTGATTCATTTTAGATCTACTGTGCCAAGTGCAAAAGGCAACCATAATCATGTTAATTTACGTGTATTTTTGATTGCCATCTAGCTGGCTTTCAATATATTGTGTGCTCCAATAAGTACAATTATCATGGCAGGTATAACCTTGTGCAAGTGTTGCTACATTCAATTACTTTTGTTGAAACACATGTTAAGATAGTTTGTTTATGTAAAGTAACACCTATGTTTTTTTATTCAGATGCGGCTAAAGGACCCCTTCTCTTTGAAAGCCGCCGATATGACTAAGCGGACTAATAAACCGAGGAAACCTCGAGATGAGGAGTCATCAGATGAAGTCAGCGGTAAGTCACTGAAATAGCACAGTGCACCAGACTGTTGACATTGGGGCTGTATATTTACTTTTGTAAAAATGTTCACCAAGTTTATTTAAAAATGTACCAAGTATATTAATCCCCTGCCCTTTACTAATTAAAGTAGTTAAACACAGCATTGGTTTCAACTAAACTGCAATCGTTTAAAAAAAAAAAATCAGTTTATTGTCTAGATAATATAATAATTATACATTTGTGCTACTTGAGCAGGACAACAATCTGTATGAATACCCATAATGGAATGTGTACCTTACAATGGATTTTATTAAGGTACTTGTCTTTCTGATTTTGTGGGGATGTCCCATCTCATGTTATTCATTGTAGGTGCTTTGCACATCGTCCCCCTTTCAAAACATAATCACTGAGAATTGTAGAAATGTTCCTAAAAGTTTTTTTTAAAGCGACATTTGAAAGGGTAAATGTTTCATTACAGCATATTTTGTTTTAAACCAGGGTTGACATGCCAGCATGTGAGTAAAGCAGTGGACCTGAGCTCAGTGAAGAAGTCGGTGCTCTCCAACGTGTGGGTGGTGTGCTCTGAGTGCCTAAAGGAGAGGACCATGATCGATGAAGAGCCAGCAGCATCCCATGACATCCTTGTGTGCTTAAAGTGTGGCTTCCAGGTAACAAATATTTGTAATTGTATTTTTCAATAGTAATCAGTGCAAACTAGGGCTGCACAATGACGTTGGTGCGTCATTGGTATCTCCAGATTAAGGCTTCAAAGTAATAAATATTAAGTCCACTATGACAGGACGACAACATGTGCTTGTTGAACCAGACTGTTGCAGAAGCGCGTGCAAACACAAGTATGTCTGCTCCGTTGTTGACAGCTCAATGCACATTTTTAAATGATTCCTGTGGACAAAGATTAAATTGTTTTGCAATGTGTGAAATGTGCCAAATGTCCCTAGTGCTGCCTTTTTAAAAAGATGGTATGCTGTACATTAACCTTAATGGAAGTAGTTTGATAAACTTGTTAACAAAGATTTTTATCTTTAAGCAAAATAAAATGTTCTTTCTTACAGGGCTGTAACCAGTCTGGGGTCCAGCACTCTGAAAAGCACCACCAAGCTTTCAATCCGGAGTCTCACTGCATCACCATCAGCCTGAGCACGTGGAAGGCCTGGTGAGAAACCTCAAACTGCATTCATTGTCAACTTTATAAAAAAACAAGCCTATACACACTGCCAATGTGTGTAACCTTGCTATGACACACGTCAAGATGCCTCCAGTGGGTGGCTTTACATAAAAAGAAAATGGCATTGTGTTTTCTATACATATTTCCAGACCTATATATCATTTACCATATTATATTTGACAGAAACCACAGAAACTTAAATTCCTGTTTGTCTCATTGTGTCAGGTGCTATGAATGTAATGAGGAGCTCTCCACTCACTGCAACAAGAAGGCTTTGGCTCAGACGCTGGACTTTTTACAAAAGCACTCCGTCAAGGCTACATCAGGTAATGTGTTCCTCAACAGGGCAAAATCCTGGAGGTCTAACCCTCTGATGAAAACTGATGAAAGCTTTGGTTACAGACAATGCATCTTCACTTCAGGGATGTAATCAAAAGTGTTTTTAATTTAAACAACCTTGTCAGTCAAAGTAGAAAACTGACTGACTGTCTAGCTGACTATGAGTGGAATATGAATGAAAGGAATGGAAATAACTGGTCATATAGTTTCAAATGTTTTGCTGTCAGTGATCCATCCATCTGACTGCAGTACACATGCTCCCCCTGGTGGTAGTGGTCATCTGAATCCTTGCATCTTACCTGTCATTCTCAGTATAGAGGCAGCTAACATGTGCGTTATGAGGGAATATTGCAGTGTGAACCCCCAGGTAATAGGGGTGTTATTTCTTATGAATGGATACTTCTCTTTATGCTGTGGGCCTGCAGTTTTTCTTTAATGCCTTCTTATGGGCATGAGCAACAGAACGCGGTTTATTGCTTTGGCTTTCACCTAAATTAAATTTGTTTTGGTGCATTGATGCATAACATAAACCGCAATAGGGAATTCAATTATAATAACTACGAAAAACAAGAAACTAAATATAGACTAAAAGAAATGTGCAAATAAAAGTAGGAAAAATATACTAAATATGTACAATATATGTGAAATAAAATGAAAGATGAATGGAAGAAAATTGCAATAGGAATATGATCAAATATGTCAAATATAATTGTGAGTTCCTAGTTGTAGTTTTGTCCACCATGTTAGCATCTTGGCCATAAGGGAACTGAGTAACTGTCATAAAAAAATTAAAAAGAAAAACATTTGAAATACATTTCATATTCTGTACTTTTTCACAGTGAGATCAAGTGAAGAAATTCACTTTAAAAAGTATTTGAGTTGTGTTGCAGCAGGTTGTATTAATATTAATATTTGACAGCCTGTCTGCCTACTATTAGATTATGTCCTCTCACTTCACTCAGGCCACCTGAGCCATCCTTGCCAGGTCAGTCAACCATATAGATATTCTACCCCCGCCCCTCGACCCCTTTCCATACTTACACACTCCCAGACCTTCTGTTCCTGCCTCCCTGCTCCTCCCTTACGTTGTGCTGGCGTGTTGAGAGGCCTCCTAACAGGCTGTAGCTGATCAAGGTGGTGGGCATCGCCACGCTCAGTCCCACTGACCGCCTCAGCTCAGCCCAGTGGCCAGAGGCCAGTGAAGCTGGTCCCCAATCAGTCTCTCAGCCACATATTTAGAGTTTGTGGGATTAATGCCACAGCAATCCACCCCCACCCTCACCCCCACCCTGCACACTGCATCACTGCACACATTAGCGGAATTAAGGCGCCTGAGCGATGCTTCCCGGCTGGGTTCCCTGAAGAACAAGAGCAGCTGCGCGGGGTTCAGCAGCCACTGCTCTGACGTTCTTTTGTCTTTCATCGCTATCTGTTTCCGTCCCTCGCCTCCTCCGCCGTGCCGCTCTGTGTCTCACCACCTCTGGGCCTGTGTGCTGCACTAGTGGGAGCCAGGGTCCTCAACAAGTCAGTGCGACTGGATCCTAACAGCTGGAGCGCACTAACTCTCAGCGGACACACACTGACTGTGGAAAGCATCATTCAATTCAAGCAAATACACTTTTTTCTTTCGATCTGTTTTACACCTTTTTTTTGTAGCTTCTACAAACGGTTTTATGTTTCAGAAAGATTCAGAACAAGGTTAATTTTAATGAAATAATGTGTTCCTCGCAACAGAGAGCACACGCTGTTCCTGAAACAGAGTCTTTTATTTGTGAAGTACATTGCAAACCTGAGGAATTTGCACATTCTTTGAGTAAGTTGTGTTTTTAGAGGCTACACCAAAGCACAGAGCAGCATTTTAGGGACAGGACCTCAAAGTACAATAAATTAAATGTCAAACATATTAATTCAAGTTAAATTCACCCATTACTAATAATTCTGCTCTGAATGATGCTGTTTCTTTATTACAATATGTTGTATTTTAAAGCCTAACCTACAAAGAAGGGTTTTCTATGTTAGTATATCTGTGCTGCTACCTGTGATCCACATTGGTGGGAATCAAGCTGGACAGTCGCTTCCTACAGCTTCCCCTTGCCCCTTTAAATTACCTGTCACCTCTGCTGCCACCCAATTGTTCCACACCGGTCGGCCAAATTGGTATGGAAGCGGGCGGCCATTGTTGCGGTAAAAAAGGCGGTCGTTGTCTGTCGAGGAGCTTGTGAAATTGCATTTCAGTATGAAGGCCATGTTTTCGGTAGCTGCCGCTGTTGTATGGTTTCTCCTATAGACCCAACGCACAAAAGAGCCCCGGCAAGGATCTTTTCTTTTTTTTTGAATCTATAATTATTTTGTACAACAACAGCTCAGGGTAGAAAGAAAGTCGATTAACTGTGGTCTCTCACCATCAAGGCTTTCAGCTCAAGTGCCAGAGTTCCTGTAAAATGAGAGTTGACCTCAGGGAGCTAGGATCCAGCTTGTTACACAGACAGCTGGGGAGGCTTTGTGGAGCAAAATTAAAATGTTGGAATAGGCTCCAAATACTTTTTGCCATTGAACTCTGTCAATTCGGTGTTGTTTTATGGTAGCGATTGTTATTGGTACTGTATCATTATATTACAAAACTGTGTATCTTAATTTTGAATTTAATTTCACAGCTAAAACATTCTGTTACGTAAATCTTGACTGTTAGGCAGTACTGTATGTATATTTTAAAAGTGAAGTGTTAACCATAGGGCTGTGCATCTTCACTGGTCTCACGATTCGATTATCCTGTCTTCGATTCGATATCCCGATGCATCACCAGTCATACCAATGCATTGCATCCTCCATTTTCTATATTACTGCACATGGCTTCTTTTTCATCAATGAATACATGCAGTAAATATGAACTCTCTTTTTATTATTTAGAAAGTGCTTCAGAAATCAATAACATAAATGTTGACATTAATTTATAAACCAAAATAAATCAATTGTATAGGTCTAGCCTCCCTATATCTGTGTGTGAAATTTTTCCATCCTCAAAAACTAAAAACGAATGCTTCTGCAGTCTAGCTGCAGCTTCTAGCAACGGTCTTCTGTTAGAAAAAGGACACTGGACGTCCTGAATGTGGCATCACAAACATGACTTGAGTCTGAACACAGCAGTATTTACAACAGCATATAAAAACAAAAATACTGCATGTGGGTGCACACTTATTCTCTGTCTTACTGTTACATAAATCCCATTTATCATATCTCAATCAGCGATTAAGTGAATAATAAAGTTTCTATCAGATTATTATCAGCCCGTCACTCATTATTTTCAGGGTTGGGAGGAACAGAGGAGACGGTGATCGCGGAAGCTTTTTTCCTCCTGCCTTCACAAACTTTACACACGTATCGTCTGAAAATAGCAAGAGGACATTCATACTCTGCAATCCAAGACTTAATTAAATCCACCAAAAACCTGACATGATTTTAACGCGAGTATTTTTTTAAAACAGAAATCCCTGTGTGTCTGAGCCGCAGCGACACGGACTGATTTAGAGCGGGTCCTTCTGCTGTTGAACATGCACAAATGGTTACCACTGAACACGTTCTGGACTGGTGTTCTTGTGTTGGTGGACAAAGCAGACTGCTCCGTGTTTGGTGTCGCTGTGCCGCTGTCACGTCTGTTCCCTGATCTCTGCGCCACCGACCGATTTGATATTCAAGTGACAGTGAGTGACGTTATTGTAAAAATCCACGACCGCATCGCGATGCATCGTAGACACGATTAATTTCAACACTCCTAGTTAACCAGTGTCTATCATCTAATATTGTCTGTATGTTCTAGCTTTTGTGCACTTTCCTTCAGATTTGAAAAATGCTGACAGACTTGCACATTCTTTGTATTATTTAATTATTAACGCAAGGATTATGGAGCTATATCAGGGTCATAAGTTTTGATCATTCAAACAAATAAAATGTATTTGAAAGTTCAAGTTTTTATCCTGAACTTTGAAAAATACAATGATGTACTCAAAATAAAAACAAGTATTTGAAATAATTTTTCAGGTTGGATATTATTTTGATTCAGTTCAGCAATTTTTTGGAATAAAATATTTATTTTCAGTTTTAAATCTTATTTTTTCAAGTTTCAATTTTTTTTTCGCCTTCAGATCACTTTTCACTTTCAGATTTTTTTTTCGCTTTCAAACTTTTGGCCCTGATGTTGCTTGGGGGGCGGGGCTTACCAAAGAGTAGTTTAGCATCCTGAGTGACAGCCCTCCCTCTGTCATGTTGCCTTCATTGATGTAAGGTAACGCAAGAAATATAACTCAACAATTTCTATACACAATACTCCCGTGATTGGTGGTAAACAAAACTGATACCAGTGTCAAAGTTCCGTTAAGCGAGCTGTTGAGTATCGTAGTTGGCAACAATCGCGGTATAAGAGCAATAAACTGTGCTGGAATGTGATATGACGTATCCGCAATTAAGCGTTGTCCTTCCCCACTTCCACGTATCTCAGTGAACGCAGCATAGTTTTGGCTTGGCTTTTGCGATCAGAATCAGAATAGATAGGCGAAGTCCCTCCTTTTCCGGTGGAACTCCATGGGAACTTATTTCGGAAAAATTATGTATTGAAGTCAATGGCGAGAGAAAGATTATATTTCGATCCCGTTTCAATTGTGCCACGAATTACACATATGATGTTTGTCAATTTAAAAGATAATTTTGCAAGTTAATAAAAAAAGAATTGCCGTAAAACTGTGAAGTAACACTTTTTTTTGTGTGAAACCGCTCAATGAACTACATCTCTGGTCTCGCACAATACACGTCACCAGCATCAAGATGGCCATCACTACTGTCTTGCCAAAAAAGGGATTGACTCATCCTCACTATCAGCACAATGAAACACGTCCAGAAGAATGTCATGCAAAGCTGCCTGCCTGCCTTCCTTCAATTCTCCCTGAACTGCCTGATTTTTTTAATGTTCAGTGGTAACCATTTGTGCAGATAGCAT